TCCGGCTACCTTCAGTTTTTTAATATTAATTTTTGGTCCGATTTACGCAAAACGAGCTTATAGTATCATGAAGTCTTGCAGTGGTATGCTTGGGTTTGGGTTTAATTTTGTTAATTATAAAGCAGATGGCAGCACCCATCCATCTTCTCTATTGAAATTTGGATGTTTTTTAATTTCAATAGCCTCGCGTATCATCCTTGGTAGGAATCGGTGTTCTTTTGCGAGAATTTGTGGTTTATCAAATCTAATGTAATGGTGAGGACGATCTTGAACATGTTCGCAGACTGCAGACTTCCCGGAGCGTCGGTGCTTCACATCAGCTGTATGTTCCTTCATGCGGGTTTTTATAGATCTCTTTGTTTGACCTATGTAAGAGAGACCACATTCACAATCTAGCTTGTACACACCTGCATCTTGTAGAGGAATATTACATTTGATGGATGGTAAAAATTGACTAATCTTCTTCAGCGGCTTGTAGTATGTCTTTATGGACGCTCGCTTCAAGATGTAGCCAATCTTATCTGTGACTCCTCTAACATATGGTAGTAGAGCAGGCGCGCGCTCGACTGTAGTCGGCTTCACTCGTTCACTGTGACGTAGGCGCGGGACCCGAAGCTTGTTGTCTTGCAATACTTGCTTGACGTGCTGAAGCTCCGCGGCCAGATGTTTTCTGTCACAGATCCCTCGTGCTCTCTGAAACAAAGATTTACCCACGGTAGCTAACTGTGAAGGATGATGGTGAGATTCACCATTTAGATATCGGTTGGTATGGGTCTTTTTCCTATACACAGTGTGACCAATAGTATTATCAGGATTTCGGATGACTAAAACATCTAGGATAGCCGGACTAACTATGACATTGGGACGTCAAACATCTCAGTCCCCCCCGTGACCATGGGTGCTGTAAAGCACCCGAAACGTCGGGATAATAATAAAAATAAATTAAAGTAATTAAACGCGATAAAATCCGTAAATAATAGTTTTATTCAATGTGTAGTGTTCGCGTAAATTTAAGAAATCATTATACAAAATTTGTCATACACAAAGTTCAAAAATGTTATTAAACTAAGTTTGTATAAAAAGGGTTATTATAATATTAAGGAATTTATAGATGATAATAACCCCTGGGAAGGGTGATCGCTACCAAGCTATTTCTAATTTGTCTTGTGTTGTTGATTGTAAACATGATTGTAAGCTATTATTAAAAAAAAAATAGTCCCGCTGGGTTTCTTGCTGGTTCTTCCCAGGACAGAGGTTTTTTTTGAGAACCAGTGGTAAATTAAAAAAGTGACTTTCAATAAGTATTTTTATAATCTACATTGAATAAAAAAGTTTCTATTTCTATTTCTATTTCTATTTCTATTAATTTATACTAATAAGTACTAATTTAGTTGGTCTACTGCATGTTCCGATATACTGTGGCAATATATACGCCTTATTGAATTACATGCGCTAGAGCAGACTAAAATTAATACTTAACAAAATAGTACTAATTTAGTTGGTCTACTGCATGTTGCGATACACTGTGGCAATATATACGCCTTATTGAATTACATGCGCTAGAGCAGACTAAAATTAATACTTAACAAAATAGTACTAATTTTACTTATAAATTACGAAACCTTCTCGTTGCATATGAGATTTATATTTCGTTATCATATCAGCAACAACTCATGACTATACTGATGATGAATGGCAGTTGTCATTTTCTAAGCATCCTATTTATTCTAATAAGGAGGCATTAGCCTCCTTTTATAAAAGTTTTTTTTTAATTTTTAAATAGCTTTGTTTTTATATTATACATATTGTTGTCAGCCTTGTCCGGTCTATTGGCCGTTAACGCAGTTGCTGATTATAAGGTCTCAGTTTCGAAACTCGGGTCGGGCCAAAATAAGTTATTGGGTTATTTTGTCAAGAAATTCTTAGGAGCAACCCTGAGTTGGCGGTGTTTCACCCCCGTGCCTCGAAAAGCACGTTGGTCCTGTGTCTAATCTTTAACCGGTCGCATCAAATAACCGTCCCGTCGGACTCCCGTGAGAGTGAGGGAATAAAGAGTGCACCTGTGGTTGCGCATACACTTGGGCACTATGATCCTGTCCTGCGCGGATAGCTATAGTCTCCATTGTGACTATCTGTCGTGATCGATATTGTCTGGAGGATATTATTTATCTTTTCAATCGGTGTTTCGTTAGTTGCGGTCTTGAAATTGATCGGTCACGCTAGCACTAGCAATTATACAATTACGTTTGATTTTTGTACGTACATGCTTTGCCTAAGCTATTTTGTTTTAGAAACCAGTAAATTACCGTGGAAAATATTCACTCACACTTTTAGGACCATCTATCAAAAGGTTGTTAGCCTTTTAAGATTGCAAGACAAATAGAAAATTATTATGCTCGCAAAGTGTCTGATTTTTATGTTTACAATTTTAGGTTATGTTAGTTTGTCAAAAAATCCATTTACGATACTTTTATGATTTACTTCTTAATACAATACAGTTAAGAACAAACTTAAAGGAATAGCTTACATAATATGTAAATATTATTATATAACCGTGCACTAATGTGCCACACTTTGCGTGGACGTCGTAAGAGGTGACAGAGGGTTAAACAGACCATGGGCATCAGTAACTTTCTGATAACAACCGAAAAAAATAAAAATCCACGTGTGGAAACTAAGAAAAAATCAAGTGGATTTTTTAAAATTAGAATAAGGGTGACAAATGAGCACACAGTCCATCTGATGGTAAGTGAATGCTGTGGCCCATTGCTAACTTAGAATCAAAATAGAGATGCGTTTTCACCCCTGATGACTAAGGTGGAATACCGTAAACTAAGAATTAAATGTGTTGCCAGCCGTAAGGACTAAGATGGAACGCCTCGTTTCCAGTAAAAATAGTCTCCGGTTCTCTACACTCACGACACAAGACACAGCAGCATTGACCTGCTATTTTACGCTGGTATTCTTTGAGAACGTAGTCCTTTTTCGGTTGAGCTGACACATTCAGACTATCACCATAATATAGCTGCAGCACGGCCCTACCACGTCAAAATGTTATATGAGTAAATTCGTCATGATAAACAAACAAGGTGAAATTTCGAAACAAAATTCTTCCAAAGTTGCAACTATGGGGCAATATATAAATGAGGCCTATACTCAGCAGTGGAATTTTGAATAAGGTGGTGAAATAAAGGTATATGTAAGAAGGTCACAACTCCTAGTATAATATTTACACTACGCCTGTGGGCTAGAGGAAATCTTTTATTCAAAACAATAATACGAAAGACAAGGAAACAATTTTGTTTACACTCTCTATAGATGCAACGTAAATATATTGACAATAATATTATGAATATTATGCTAAATAACTTATTAAACTATAACTACAAATACCTAACTGTATGACGTTTCATGCTTTGTGTGGAGTTCTTCGTAAGAAATTACCAAATGTCTATTACTGTAAACAAATATACGAATATTCTATACCAACACAACTTGGCCACCCATGTCAATACATGGGTGGCCAAGTTGTGTTTTTGGACACATCGAACACGAAACGGAGATGTAGTTTTTTATTTGACAGCATCGAAAACACAATTTGTTTATTGAACAGTCTCTGTAACAAGTCTTCAACTATTATGTAAGTTTGTTGTTGCAGGCACTAAACCGAAATTTAAACTAAAATTAACATTATAAATTCCCAAAGCGTAGTTATTATACAAGTGCCGAAAATTTTGGTATTGCCCCTTCGTCTTGCGCGTCCGATAGGAAACAATTGTCGAATTATTGCCTAATTCTGTTTTGCTTTCACGATGCTTGTGGAATGTGAAATTTTTTAAGTTGGTACTGAGTCATATGAACCTTCATAACATGCTTTCATCACAGTACTTTCGTTTTGTAATATAAGCCGGGCTTGTCAAAAGTTGGTATCTTCTTTTCAAATAAACATTGTCCCACATTAGAAATTTGTCCTGTACCCTGTAAGAGTTAGAGTGTTCAGGTCTGAAGCCGAACTGCTCGTCTGGAAGAATTTTGTTAGACTTATGGGTCAGTAGCTAGAGGCTAAATTGCGCGGTTTTCCAGATTTCGGGATTTCTACAACGTTCGCATCTTCAGTGTACGAAAAGAGCCTGACGAAGGGCTTTGAAAATGCCCTCTGGGAAGCAAACAAGTGGCGCTGTGAGTGATTTAAGCACCCTGTTGCTAATGCCGTCGCGGCCAAAGATACATACATTGCACATTGCATCCAGACCGAGAACAACTATTTGTAGGTCATTCAAATGATTTCCTGCAGGATGAAGCGTCGCAATAAGACGTCACTAGCCACTCCAATAGTACATTTTAATTATAGCAATTGAATGGATTGGTTTATCTCTTTTAAGATATATGCTGGTGGTAACACTAGCTTTTTGCCCAGGAGTCCGTTTGGGTAAATGTGTCTATTCGTTGGCTATTCGTTGTATTACGTGCATTAAAAACAGGGGGTCAGATATTTAAACAGACAACTTTTCCGCCCAGTAGACCGCCTGGGTAGGTAATTACATTTAATTAACAAAAATAATTATAAAAAAGTCCACAGGCCTCACCATAGACTGCGTTATTTGCCATATATGTCATGCTTGGCACTAGCAGTTTGACAACCGCTGCTTTTTTATAGATGTATTATCAGGAAGATGCTGCAGTCCATCTCCTGTATCTTTCCTTTGTCGACTCATACGACACTTCATATCAAGGCGATCGCTTAAATTGTTACCAAAAAATTAAACATCGTTTTCCACTCTAGTTTTTTCGCTGTTACGAAACAACAAACTTGAATTAACATAACACAACTTCCGACCGTGACTTAGCTCGTGGTGGTGTGGTGGTGTGGATGCGCACCAGTTGAATCGCGTCATTCCGTGGTGGAGCGCGCCTCGAGCTGCAGTGTCGCGAATTCCATTTGACATTACTGTCGTGTTATAGTTCGATACCGTTTTTCAGTGTGGTTATTTTCAAACAAAATGCAACGATTTATTGTAAGTATTAGGGTCGATTTTTAAAAATTAAATAAATTATGAACCTGATTGATTAAAAAGTAAAGCAATGGTATATTTTTACTACTATACAGTTGTCATTTTCAATTTGTTTATGTTGTAGTTTGTTCCATAAATAACTTTTATCTGACGATTGAAAAATCAGCCCTTAATTATTTTAAAAATACTAACTTTGATGTTTTATTATTTTAAACGTGGTAGAATGCTGCAGTTATATTAGTAGTATAGTTATAGCACGAATGGGTCGGCTCGACCGGAGAAGGACCACGCTCTCACAGAATACCAGCGTAAAATAGTAGCTTAATGCTGCTGTGTTTCGTATATTGAGTGTCGAGATCCGGAATCCCTTTTTACTGAAAATGAGGCATTGCATCTTAGTTCTCACGGATGACAACGCATCTGCTTTTTGATTCATAATTGAGGATAGTAGAAGTAGATGTCTATGGCCCACATATCCTATAAAAATTAAATATATTAATTATATATTATAATATAAACAAATTAAAAATATAAAAAGTAAATATTGTAACTATAGAAGTAGCTGGTAATTTTAAACGTGAGACTAAAATTTTTGGACTGCCTCGTTGACCTAGTGATCGTACACATGGGTGCTGATCATTAGGTCAAGAATACGAATCCCGGGTTGGGCCTAAAATCAGTTAAATGCCTCTCCGGTTATGTTGTTGGCTTACCGTCCCATCGGACTATGAGAGTAAGGGAGAGAGAGAGAGAGTGCACCTGTGCTTGTGCATACACTCAGGTACTATAATCCTGATCTATAGTTACCTGCAGAGAGGTTTCGATATAAGATATGCAGTCACGAGACATCGTTTCTTAGCTTTTGGGGATGACATACCAACATCTTAATGTTCTATTTAAAATATCTTATGCCAAAGTCTGAAGATTAAAACAGTAATTAAAAAATTCGACTGGGTAAAAACTTTACGAAAAAGAAAAGATTTATATCCTATGTCATTTCTGTACTTAAGACGAACCTAAAAACACGTTATATACATCAAGCCGCTTAGCTTAGACTACGGAGCGTTTTTTTTTAATGGAATAAGGGTGACTAACGAACACACAGTCCCACCTGATGGTAAGTGGATGCTGTGGCCCACAGATATCTAAATCTATCCTCAATTAAGAATCAAAATGCAAATGCGTTGTCGCCCTTGAGAACTAAGATGGAAAGCCTCGATTCCAGTAAAATGGGTCTCCGGTTCTCTACACTCATCATACGAAACACAGTAGCATTATTCGTTGTGAAATAGCAGCACAATGCTACTGGTCCTGTGAAAGCGTAGTCATTGCCGATCGAGCAGACCCATTCATGCTGCAGCCATAATGAACTGAAACATGGCTCTAACACGCATTAAACTGTATTATTATTTCCCTTAGTCCCTCCTTATGAAACCTACATTAAAGACCTGTGGTGAGGTGAGCTATAACTTCCACAAAATACTTCATTAACTTCATTACAGAGTATTCATTATAACACTGACTTCTAAGAGCTATAAACTTTTAATACGTGGTAAAGTCTCGACTCTCACTCACTCACTCGACCGAGGAAGTACCACACTCACACAGAATACCAGCGTAAAATAGCAGCCTATTACTGCTGTGTTTCGTATGATGAGTGTAGAGAACCAGAGACAATTTTTACTGGAAAAGAAACATGTCATTTTTGTCCTCAAGAGGGAGAACGTATCTCCATTTTGATTCTTGATAAAGGAAAAATGTAGATGTCTATAGGCGACAGCATCTACTACCCATGTGGTGGACTGTGTGCTCGTTTGTCACCCTTATTCTATAAAAAAAAACAAATCAGTAGATGAGCAGCAGCGTATTCCTAATAACGACAAAAAATAAAATATAACGGTTGGCAATCCGCTTGCCAAGCGCGGCAAATATCCCCCCTGTGGGGGAGGCCTATGTTCAGCGGAAGTTAAGAGAATGTAATGATAAAACAACATTTATAAATATCACCATAAAGATGTAATTTGGAAAATCTGTCTTGTCAAACCACGGAACACGTCTAGGGTAATAACAGCGGTGTGACGTATGGAAACAACTTTCTACAATCACCGACCAAAACGTGTTTCGTTATTTTACAAAAACGAACGAAAATGTAAGTTAAATTTTAACCAACGAACTCCAGCCTCACCTGAACGGAATCTTTTAATGTAGCGTTATTTAGATTTAAAAGGATTGTAAAGCTGTAAATTTTCAAACAAAAAGTGAAAACGTTTTGTCTCCCCTAAACATCAATTCTAGTCTAATAATTAAAATTTTGGGAAATGTAGTATATATAATGAAAAATTAGGTCCGTACGTTTTTATTTTAAGGAACCATTCCGAACGATATAAGTCAATAGCTTCTAAATATCTATGTTTTTCACATAAAAACTTCCTCGAGTATTTTTTTTTTTGATGTATTACTAAAAAAGAAAATGATTAATATATACGTATACGTATACTGAATCTAATGAGACATGATGAAAATTGTCTCATTTCATGAAGGTTTAGGGGGGTGAAAACGATAACGCTTGAAACAACATTTTAAAAAGAAAATGTTGCCTACATTTTCTTTTTTCTTCTTTTACTTCAACATTACTTTCAACATTTGCAACTATTTCTATTGCACGATGGCCATACGGATAGAATGATGTGAAATAGATAGCATTTTTGAAAATACCTACTCGCGCCGCATATCGGCACTTCACCATACTCTTAATCAAAGACTATTTAATTTCATCAACTTGTGTGAAAATTTTAAAAATGGTTGTTCATGTTTTAAAATCTGGGGTATGTAAATACCCCCCCCCCCTACCAGCTCAATATAAAGCAGTTATTTAGATTTTACAGACAAACCCACCTAGGGTTGCCATCTTTTTTGAAGAAATGTAGAATTGTTCCCAAAAAAGATGCAAAAATATAGTACTTTTGAGATACTTCGGAGAAAAAAGTACACATTTATTTTTAATCCTTATGTATTTTCTAATATACTTATATTTGTTATTGCTCTTTGCTTTGGTCATCAATGATTCATTACATTTAAAATAATTGTAATTGTCTGATCAATTTAGATTCATATTGAAACAAATTAAAAATTTATTTAAATTAAATTAATACATGCTCTATTTTTTATTCTTTCAATTTTACATTCATGTTGGAAAAATTTCTTACCGTAAAATTTACTTGTCCAGACTTCCAATCACAGTTAATATAAAAAAGCGACCCAGTTGAATTAGGGATAAAAATATAATCAATGATTCATTACATTTAAAATAATTGTAATTGTCTGATCAATTTAGATTCATATCGAAACAAATTAAAAATTTATTTAAATTAAATTAATACATGCTCTATTTTTTATTCTTTCAATTTTACATTCATGTTGGAAAAATTTCTTACCGTAAAATTTACTTGTCCAGACTTCCAATCACAGTTAATGTAAAAAAGCGACCCAGTTGAATTAGGGATAAAAATATAGTATTTTCCGTTCTATATTATTTTTCTAAAATATATAGTACAATTGACTGATATATAATACGATACTAATGTTATACTACGGGTGGCAACTCTAGACCGACCTTACCTGGCTGGCTTGAAAAAATTCTAACCCTGAGCGTGGAAACTTCGGGAATGAAGTAATTAATTTAACTTCTTAGTCCATTCGAAAGACATAAAAACAAAATTTAATAAAAGTGGAAGCCGAATTCAAACTACTTAAGAAAATAAAATAATTTCACATTCTGAAGTCAGTGCTTATTTCAGTCGGTGATTCTGAAGACTTAAAGTCTTCAGAGTTATAGTTTCAGAATATGAAATAATTTTATTCTGAAGAATTAAAGTCTTCAGAGTTATAGTTTCAGAATGTGAAATAACTTTATTCTGAAGACTTAAAGTCTTCAGAGTTATAGTTTCAGAGTTTTAAATAATTTTATTCTTCTAGTCTTCGATCAATAATACTACCTTCTAGTCGACTCCAAAAAGGACTTTTATGTTTTTTGTAGTATTTTTTGTATGAGTGTTACGCGATATCTTCGCCATCTGTGAACTGATTTGGAAAGATAAATCCACCCCTGAGGGTGGCATAATAAGGAATAGAGTTTTAATTTAACTATACACACTATATTGAGACTATGATATATCTTTGTCAACTCAAAAGGTGCACAAAATAACTTTCAACAAAAGAAAAGTATTTGTTTTAATTTTTTGACTTTTACTTATCATCAAGTCAATTTTTTTCCAGTGTTTCAGGTGTGTGAAACACTGGAAAAAATTGACTTTCATATATATATATATATATATATATATATATATGTGTGTGTGTGTGCGTGCGTGTGTGTGTGTGTGTGTGTTTCACGCTATTCAGACTTCACAAACAGATAGAGAACAATTTCAGGAGTGATCTATATTTTATCCGAAAAATGTCATTGATGATTTATTAAATCTAAATAACGTCACGTTAATATTTTCTTTTATAGGATAAGGGTGACTAACGAGTACACAGTCCACCTGGTGGTAAGTGGATGCTGTGGCCCATACTCATCTACATCTATCCTCGACTAACAATCAAAACGTAGATACATTGTCACTCCTGAGGACTACGATGGAATGCCTCGTTTCCAGTAAAAAGGGGTCTCCGGATCTCTACAGTCATAGTACGAAACACAGCAGTATTTTAAGCTGCTATTTTACGCCGGTATTCTGTGAGAGCGTGGTCCTTCCCCGGTCAAACCGACCCATTCATGTTACTACCATAATATAGCTGCATCGTGGCTCCACCACGTATAAAATATAGTCTATAATTTTCAATATATAATTTTTTTAAATTAAAAAAAAATACTAGGTGTAAAAACCGTTATATGAAAGTACCACTCTACACTAGTTACAGAACTTATTAAAACGTGTTAAGTAGCCAATACGTCAGGTTACGCGCTAATAACGCCGAACGTTATAAACCTGCTATAATTAACCATGTAACACGTTTTACGAAACGCGGTGCTAATAAATATTTCGTTATATTGCGTTACCTGTTTTTCGGCGTTTACGCATTGCTTTGTCAATATCTATTATGGTTGTAAAACAAATGGGTCAGCTCGACCGGGAAAGGACCACGCTCTCACCGAATACTAGCGTAAAATAACAGCTCAATGCTGCTGTGTGTATGATGAGTGCAAAGAACCGGAGACCCTATTTACTGAAAACGAGGCATTTCGTCTTAGTTCTCAGGGGAGCCAACGCATTTCGATTCTTAGTCGAGGATGTTTCTTAATAAAGAAGATGTAGATGTCAATGGGTCACAGCATCCATTTATTCTACAAAAAAAAACTAGGCCCAAGCATACCATTGCAAGATGTCAAGATACAGTAAGTTTATTCTGCGTAGATCGTCCCAAATATAAATATTTAAGGTTAAAAGTAGCTTAGCCTGGGTCAAATATAATATTGGAACCTCAAACATCTCAGTTCTGCCGGGACTTGAACACAAGAAAGTAAATATATAAATAAGCAAAATAAAACGCGATAAAATCTGTAAAATAAGTTTTAGGTATTCAGTTTATACTTACATGAATATTATATACATTATTACTATTTATTTTATTCGCGTTAAATAAGAAATCATTATAGAAACCATTTGGATTGTTTAAGCATTATAATAATCTTTCACTTTGTTCACAGATCCCCTTAGTCCTGGCCTTGGCTACGAGCGTCAAAACAGTCAAAGAAAGGTCATGGATCCCAAGTCATTCCGTCGCATCAGAATCCCAGATCAAACTCGCCATAGAGAACGATTACGACGACACTGGCCCAGGGGCGAAGACGCCGCAGTACGCATACAATACTTACAAGACACTAGAGGAAGCGCTACTCAGCTACATGGATGACCCTGACACCGAGTTGCCAGAAAGTGAAAGAAGGAAGGCAATCAACAGATTGATTAACAGTCCGAAAGAATACCAACCGTACATTTCATCACAGCCGATACGAGAATATCCCAAGAGTGTTGCAGAGTACACTGGGTACAAAGAATTACCTCAGATACCTCCGATTGTGCTGAAAAAATACTCACGGCCTGAGAAACAGGTGCTGTACCAGAATCCCAAGACTACCCTGGGAGTTTATAATTTGAGAGGCATCTCTTTAAGCAACTTCAATTCGGTTGCGTCTAAAGGCAGGCCACAGGTGTACAAATTAGAAAGAGTTCGCTTGCCAGGACCGATCAGAAGTCATATTTCGGACTTCTATAATATCAACCAGGACCGCTTTACTAACCCTCAATATTCCTTCTCCCAAGACGTTTACGTAAGTACCTGTTACTTATACTATTATTTTTTTATAGAATATGGATGATAAACCGACCCGATGGTAAGTTGATGCTGTAACCTATATAAATCTACATCTATCCCCGATTAAGAATCAAACTGCAGATACGTTGCCACCCTTAACCCTAAGGACTAAGATGGAATCCCTAGTTTCCAGTAAAAAGTATCTCTGGTTGTCTACACTCACCTCACGAAACACAGCAACATTAAGCTGCTATTTCACATTGGTATTTTATGAGAGCGTGGTCCTTCACCAGTCTGGCCGACTCATTCATGCTAAAACCATAATATATTTGCAGGCTAGAGAATGCAGTATATTCGAGTGAATATAAAGAAAACATATTACACAGTCAATGATTACTTTGTACATAAAGATGCTTGGTCTTAATGTCTTTCAGTTTAACACATACTACTCGTACAATCTCGTTTATTAGCTGGAAAATTTAACAAGTTATACTAAACATTAATTCGTCATAGACATATATTTTCGTTACGTAATTTTTGTTTGCCTTAGTAGCGGTGTAAGAATACCCACTACCCCATACCGTCCCGTGTTTGTCGAGAGGGGCGACAGAGGGAAATTGAAACAGGTGATGGCGGCAGCATCTTCTTGAGAATAACACAAAATAATAAAAAACTGCGGTTGACAACCCTCTCGCCAGGGGTGTCAACTATGGCAAAATCCCCTCTACGAGGCAATCTATGGGGGAGGCCTATGTTCAGCTGTCGACTTAGGTTTATAATGGATAATGGATGGTAAATTGCAGTATTTGTTAGTATCTATAGATATTATATTTTAGCTATTTTCTCTGTTTGCGTTTATTTTAACCCTATGTTACACACACTTTATTGTGATATTTTGACGTTTATAAGTCTTTGTTTAAGTTTACATGAATGAAGATATTTGATTTTTACCGTAGATGTCGAAAGAGGTGACTGTGGGAAAGATCAGATTTTTTATAGATTCCGATAAATGGCGATGCAATCATCTTATTTCTAGATGTCACATACCCCTAGACCGGAGACGGACAACAGCTTCTTCAGGTCCGGTACTGGCGATAGTTATTTATTTTATAGAATAAGGGCGACAAACGAGCACACAGTCCACCAGATGGCAAGTGGATGCTGTGGCAGATATAGAGTCTCCGGATCTCTAAACTCTCCATACGAAACACAGCAGTATTAAGCTGCTATTTTACGCTGGTATTGTGTGAGAGCGTGGTCCCTCCCCGGTAGAGCCGACCCATTCGTGCTACATCCATTATATAGCTACAGCGTGGCTCTACCACGTAAAAAGTTAATCTGTCTTCCAAACGCCCCATGAGTCCTTCCTATAACGGGACTGTAAGTCTTCCTACAACGGGACTGTAATTCCTTCCTCAGCATCACAAGTCATAGAGTATAGGAAGATAGCATGGACTAAGCTAGTTTTATATACATAATATTTATTGCATATAATTACTAGACTCAATGTTAACTTTGATTAAATCCTTAGTGATTACAGGTTTTATATCTCGTAGGTATAGTTAATATGGCATTCTGAACACTCACCAGATTCTACTGAACTGTACTGCAATCCCAACACCTGTTATTGTGGCTTCGATATTCATGCAGTGCGGAGCGGCGCTAATAATAATTTTATATTAAATAAGCACATACGCAAAATAAACGAAAATTAAAAAAATGTACTCGATTAACAATACAATCTAAATAAACAATTATTTATTGTGACAATTTTCGCGCGTTTACGTCAACTGCGCATGCACGACTCTACTGTTTCCCGTGCAAGTGCGAATACAGAGTAGTGCACATTTTTTGTTTGGAATAGCTTCTCTAGTACGTAGTACATATAACACAATGGTTAATAAACTATTTTCAGCGATTGCTCGCGATTCGACTTAATAGTGGCTCAGTCTTCGTTAGGTACTGTAGCATTATGTTGAGTCGGCGACCTTTGCATTGCTGCAATTCATTATTTGCTGTATAAAAGCCTTGGTAGCTTAGATGGTTAGCACTCGCTATAAATTTCACAGTACTCGAACAAAACGGATTCGATCCCTACCGGTACCAATGAAATTGTTAATTGCAATTTTAAGCGCTGATTTACAACGCGCTGGGCGGTGAAGGAAAACCTAGTGAGAAAAGCTGCATGTCTGAGAAATAAGACAAAAAAATTATTTCGAAGGCATGTGAAGTTCGCCAACACGCATTGGGGCAACGTGGCGGATTATTCCTTGCCCTAAAACTCTCTCAGAAATGAGCGGAGGCCTGCGCCCAGGAGTGGGATGTATATATACTGCATAAAAAAATCATTATTTTATATTTGAGTTTTTTTTTGTAGAATTGATGTTCTGCAAGTTTCAGTAATAAATAAATATGTTCTTTCTTCTTCTTACAACAAGAGAGGCGCATGTTCACCTGTGTACTATAACTGGCCGATAAAGGCGAAGTAGAAAGCTGTATATGAATTAATCATATTACTGCAATTGGCGCATGAACTATAAGCCTTTGCCTGAGATCTCGATGACGAGCGTTCAGAGGACGCGCAACCTAGCGTCATGACGAAAACACAGGCGCTACTCCTAGCGAATGACCTTGAGCATTCGGTCCGCCTATGCTCCACGCGCTCTCGCTACAACATATCGCGTAAGAAATACGCCCCAATTTTAAAATATTTTATTTTTCACCCTTCAAGTGCCATGAGAATCCCATGCAGTCGCATGCGCCCGGCAAATCCCGAGCGGTCGTATGCGACCGCACCCACCCACAGCACTTAAAACCATAAAACTTATATTTAGAGACTACTTTTCTATGAAGCTTAGCATTATAAAACCTATACATAATTCTCTATCTTGTAGTCTAAAAAATCAGGTTTTACTTCATTACAAAAATATTTTTTTTTATTTTGATAACAAAAAAATACATACCAAGCGAATGTCGGCAGCGTAAAAATCACAATAATTTCAATATATATTACTCAAAATTATTTACGTAAAAGATAAATTATATTCACACAAAAACTTTCATTACAATTTTTGTAATAAAACACTATACTAAAACACCAATAAAACACTAGAAAAATCCAAAAATCAACACAATAACATTCACGCGAAAATGGCGTATGAAATGAACGTAGATTATAAATAAATATTCATAGGATAACAGTTTTTTATTGCACTAGAAGATAAAGTATTTCATATTGATTATATAATGTCAAACTTCTTCATAGAAAAGTAGTCTCTATATACGTTTTTATGGGTTAAAGTGCTGTAGGTGGGTGCGACTTCATAAGATCGCTAGGGATTTGACGGAATATGGCCGCGGTCTCATGAGACCGCTTGGGGGTTGAGAGGATAAAATCGAAGTCCTTTGAAAAATTAAATAGATCACATTGTTCATTAACTATATATAAATTTCCTACACATTAGTGTCAATCGCAAATTAAAATAATGCTTACTTTATGAGGAGATGCATGTTATCAATAATTATTTCGCATTTCTGTGGTTTAGCTGTAGGCAGATTCATCAAGTATTTACTCCTTTTAAAAAAAATGGAATTGACGATTATGGAATCAAGATTATGTAGAAATTTAATAGATTTTTTATTAGATGAGTTGAGTTTTTATATCATTTTAATAATAAGTAGATAGCTCCTAAAAACCGCACAAATAACCATTAGCTCGGCATTTTGCTCAAACATGCACCTTAAAATATCCTGCGTTTGAATTATTACGTTATACGCCCATTACATAGACCGAATTGACTCCCATTCAGGGCTTAGGTTTTTTTTAATAAAATTTAATTAAATAAAAAAATAAGTTACAAACGAACTTACAGTGTTCCTGATAAAAAGTGGTGACTGCATGCCATGCATGGCCCATGGACGCCTGCAGCCAAATTCAAATAAAGAAGTCTGTCTATAGACATACATTTCTTAGGATTAAGATGGAATGCCTCACAAATATTCTGACCCGTAAATGACTCTCTGTACTCTTCAGACCGCACAAATTGCTATACACGGCTGAAATATGTAAGGTATCCTATAGGTATAAAAGTCCTAGCACGTACTACAAAGGCAAAACCTATGGATAAGAAATATAATAATAAAACTCCCTAAGAAATGAGGGGAGGCCTGTGCCCAGCTGTGGGACGTATGTAGGCTGTAAATTTATCTTTTTTTATTGATAGTAATTACAAAATGATTTCTTAAATTTACGCGAACACTACACATTGAATAAAACTAAATTTGCGGATTCTATCGCGTTTATTTAACTGATTTTACTTATTTTTTAATTCCCGACGTTTCGGGTGCTTTACAGCACCCATTGTCCCCCCCCCGTGACCATGGGTGCTGTAAAGCACCCGAAACATCGGGAATTAAAAATAAGTAAAATCAGTTAAATAAACGCGATAGAATCCGTAAATTTAGTTTTATTCAATAATTACAAAAGCGATAGCTGTCTCACCATTAAATATTTCTTTTAATTCAATATCTTACAGTTGAGAACTTACGCTTTAATACAATTACTTTCTCCAATCTGCTTTGCCATCGTTGTGCGTACATATTAATCACTTTTTGTATTTTTTTTTGTATGCAGTACAGACACGTTCACTTTTCAAATTGATATGAATGGATAATGTTATGTAATGTAATGTTAAAGATACAGCCTATATACGTCCCACTACTGGGCACAGGCCTCCCCTCATTTCTGAGAGGGATTTAGGGCAAGGAAATGTCCGCCGCGCTGCCCCAATGCGTGTTGGCGAAATTCACATGTCTTCGAATTTTTTTTCTTATTTCTCAGACATGCAGGTTTCCTCACAATGTTTTCCTTCACCCCCGAGCACGTGGTAAATCAACACTTAAAATTGCAATTAAAATTTTCATTGGTGCCGGCGGGGATCGAACCCAGTTTGCTCGCGTACTCTGAAATTTACAGCAAGCGCTTACCATCTGAGCTACCACTGCTCAATGTAATGT